AAAAGAAAGATCTAAAACTTGTTTACATTTTTTTAGCAAACATAGCTATATATTTTTCAGCTGTGCTGTCACCCACCAAGACTCCTATTTCCCATAAAGGTTCAAATAAAGGACTTAGAACCCAATAATTTCATAAAAGAATGTTTGCAACCAAGTCCCCAATTGTGTAACAGAAATTTTCTAAAATGTACTCACTGCAGAATTCAACCMATTTTATTAGAGAATTAGCACTGAATGTAAAGCTCCTCCTACTTTTCTTAAGGGGTTGGCTAACAATAATCCCCAGGCCAAAACTGGCCTACTACCTGGTTTCATAAATAAAGTTTTATTGGAACACAAGTGCACTCATTTGCATACATAATATCTGTAGTGGCTGTCCTACTACAACAGCAGGGGTAAGTTTATTGCAACAGAAACTATGTGGCTACAAAGTATTATCTATCTTTGTACAGAAAAAGTTTGCTTCCATTCTAAAAATCTCTCAGGTGAACCTTAACTTTCACAGTATGTCTCTCAAACGTCCCTAACACATGAGTGACTACAAGAATGTTGCTTATCTTGTCTGGACTTTTCTTCTAATCTGTAAGAAGGGAGAGTTGTCATTTCCAATACAGACATTCATTATCATTGTGATTCTCAGCCAATAAGCAGTTTCCTAAGTGTGGTTTGATACTTCAGAATATCTTAAATAGCTGTACTTTTTTCTTTTTCCTTGTATTTTATTTATTTATTTTTTGGTACTGGGGATTGGACCCAGGGGTGCTCTACTACTGATCTGCATCCCTAGTACACCCCCCACCCCAACACACATACTTTTTATTTTGAGACAGGGTTTCACTAAGTTTCCCAGGCTGGCCCTRAAACTTGCAATCCTCCTGCTTCAGCCTCCTGAGTAGCTGAGATTACGAGCCTGTGCTGCCACATCTGTGTGACACATTGGCAGCGCCCTATAGGAAACTAAGTGCCAAGCCCCCTCTTCCTCCTGACTGRCTTAACTTCCTGTGCTTTGCTTCTGTGAGGCTGGGCAGGCGAGAACTAAGCTTCCTTAGAATACATCACTATTAGCCAGTGTTCAGAGTATTTGGAACTACAAAAGCCCAAAGAATGGCATCATAACTGCATTCACAGAGGAGAAGGGACTTAGACAAGTCTTCTTGGAGGAAATGATGCCTGATCTGAGTCTCAAGGGATGAAGAGGAATTTGTGCTGCTGAAGAAAGAATTAACCAATAAAGCAACAATGCATCCTATTATAGCTATCATTTTATTTTGTTTAATCGGGAAAATGTTTCAGCATCTAAACCCCAGAAAGCCCTCTCTGAATTCAAACAGACTCTAATGTGTGTGTTTCACGCTGCCAAGCACCTTTTCCCAACAGTCWCCTTTTTTTTTCTTTCTTTTTTTAAATTTTTTTCAACGAATTATCAAATTCACATCCAAATCTTTAAAAAGACATCAGCTACCACAGGCATAYACACTGTGTGATGGCCAAGGCCTATGACACCAAGACTTCTTTGAGAAGTGAAGATCACTGGACAAGAGCCATTCCAGGGCTGTCGCAGAGGTCAGCAAGAGGTGAGATAACTCTGACTTCAAGCGACTTGGCAGTGGGATTAGGCAACATGCTTAGGCAGCAGCCATATTCATCTGGCTAAACAATCCAAAAATCTACAACAATAGATTCTGAAGGGAAGAGAGTGATTTGAGTTGACCTAGGCATGCAATCTCAGCAGGACTGATTCCTACATAATTGCAAGTACTCTCATAATCCTGTCTGTACTGTTTTTGCAAGTATAGTTCATTTATGCATTCAATAAATCTTAGTGAGTACCAACTATGTAGCACCACGTTTCTGTTCACTGGAAAAACATTWAAAAATTAGACAAAAATCCTTGCCCTTGTGGAACTTAGATGCTCATGTGTTATCCTTGTACTGAGAAAAGTACAATGAATTTTAACTTCTATCCCATAGGACTGTACTGAACAGTTCCCAAGGAATGTTTTGCCAAAGAGCCCCAACCAAACCTGAGCCATTCATCCCTCTATCTCACCCTCTGTGTCACAGCAGTGAATAGGACAGAGTAAAGCCAGGATAGCCAAATGCTTCTTCATTAACATGCCCTTATCATCAAGCCAAATGACTCCTGAAGCTGCAAAGCAGATATGTATCAAGACCCTAAAGAATGTTCACAGCTTTTGAATCATTCCTGTGTGTGTGTGTGTGTGTGTGTGTGTGTGTGTGTGTAGGAACTGAACCCAGGGCCTCACGTATGCCAAGCACTCTACAACTGAGTTATACTCCCAATCCCATTTCTAGAAATCTTAACCATGAAAATAGACTTAATTTCTGAAAACAATTTACATGCAAAAATGCACATCACAGTTTCATTTAACCTATACACACACACACACACACACACACACACACACACACACACATACAATTAAGTGTAGCTACAAATGAATAGTTCAATTATTTTTTACACAAGAAGAAATAACAAGCAGCCATTAAAATGGTGTCTACAAAGATTCTAGGTAATGTGGGAAAAGTTTTATAAAATGTTAGGAAGTCAAGCAGAACAAAACAACTATAAATTCAATACAAGAACCATGTGTAAAAATCTACTGACAAAGATAAAACATTATGGAAATATTCCAAAACATTAATAATTAATATATTTAGATGTAAAAATTAAGAGTATTTTCTTTGTGAATTTTTCACTTTATTATTTTTTTTAAGAGAGAGTGAGAGAGGAGAGAGAGAGAGAGAGAAATAATTTTTAATATTTATTTTTTAGTTCTCGGTGGACACAACATCTTTGTTGGTATATGGTGCTGAGGATCGAACCCGGGCCGCACGCATGCCAGGCGAGCGCGCTACCGCTTGAGCCACATCCCCAGCCCTTCACTTTATTTTTATAAGTAAATGATGCAGGTTTTTTTTTTTTTTAAGCAAACATGAAGTAGCAAGAACAAGTGTAAAGCAGCCTATCATTGCAGCTAAGAACCTGAGATCTGGATCCAAATTGCCTGGGCCTGAACTCTGATTCCTCAAGTTATTGTGTGACCTTGGGCAAGTTACTGGATCTTTTCATGCCCCAGTTTCTCATCTGCAAAACGGAGGTGATAATAGTGCCTACCTAACAACTGGTATAACAACTAGTAGGTAATTCATGTAGGGTTCCTGGCAATAGAGTGTTATTACCAGTAAGTATTCAAAATGATAATTCTTCCAATACTCCAGGGGGCTCAAAGGAAAAATTTAAACAAAGGGAAAAGTTGGCAAACTCCTATTCTGATGTCTTAGGGGCAAGTAATTCAGAGTTGTGCTTCCACTGGGCAATTTTCCCTCACAGAATCAATCCCAAATCTGTTACTCATATTTTAAATTTTCCCCTGAAGAAGATGAACAGTATGTACACATTTATTTTATGGGTAATTACTTCCTTGGTTTCCTTTTATGCTCTCATCATAACTTACTGTGCAAAGTGCCTTTTGGTTTTAAAAATAAATCTAAAAATTCTGTTCATAGGATTGTCAAAAACACAAATCATTAATATGAAATGACCTCATGAACCTATCAGTCAGACAACAGCAGTTAATCTGAAGATGAAAATAACTGTCAATACAGTCAYATTTTCTGCCAAATGTCTATTTCAAAATCAGTGAAACCAGCAGCTGATTGCTTGGGTCCTACATCCAATATCCTTCTTTCTGTGAAAATTAAACCATCTAAATTTAGGTAAAATAAAGTCATTGATAACTAGCCCAGAATCTTGTTCACAAGAGCCACTATTTATCATTCTAATCTAAATTTCCTTCGACTTTTGACCCTATGAATCCTCTACTCAAAATAAGGCAGTGCTTCTATTCAGGTCTTGGATTGGTCTGGCAACCTTTTCCTTCCCATGGACTCTCTTCTCCCTCTGCATGAAATATCTACCTACTTTACATAGCTCGACCTAAGAGATTCACAGGCTTAGATGTGAATCTTGCTGAGAACTAGGTGTATCATCTTCATCGGTCACATAACCTCAGTCTGTCTGTAAAGTGGGCATAACAAAGACACATCTCGCACAGTTACTATGGGGCTAAACTAGACAACAGATACTAAAGAACTGGGCATGGTAGACAATTTAGTAATGAGTTCTTCTATTCATTGTCTTTGTTGGGGTTCCAGTCATTCTTAAAATCCTAATATCTCTGGTATCCTTCCTGTTTTTCCTGTTTTTCCTTCCCAGACCAGAAAGGCCAAGTACTACTGAACTCAGAATATTCTGTTTCACCAAAAGAACATTTGTTAAGTCCCTGGGGACTTGGAAAGGTAGATGCATTAATTAAAAGTAATTTGTGTCCCTTTTGGGTGGAGCCTAAGAAGWGGGGCTGGTGTGGGGGGGTGGCTTCAGTCAGTGGTAACCCATTATATTCTCTTCCCCGTGAGGTCCTTATCTGGGCTCAGCCCCCGTGCCGCCCCACACCTGCAAACACTAAGTTAATTAAAACATCTGAGCTGAGGTTCCTTCAGAGGGTACCAACCCCAAAGACCCTCCCAAGATCCCTAAAGACTCTCCCAAGATCCCCAGCCAATCTGGCCCCAGCCCTCAGCGGAAAGGTTCAACAACAGAAGGGACGCCACAAAGTGGACGCGGACCTCGCGCCTTTGGAGACAGAACAGTGAGGGACAATAGCTCTGCCCAGCCTGAGCTTTACAGCGCGCCTCCCGCCCCGCCGAACCGCCTTTTCCCGTGCAGCTAGACGGTTTGGAGCTGTTGAGAGAGGCGCAGGACCCCGGCCGCTTCCCACCTCGCCGGCGTCCGCCCAGAGCCCCGGGAGCTGCCAGGTGCACCCGCGAGCCCCACTCCGCGCTCTCGGCAGCGGTCCGCGCCGCCCCTTCGACGTTCCTCTGTGCGCTCAGCGCGCGGCGCTCCGGGGCCAGGCTGGGTGCGGCGCTCCGGGGCCAGGCTGGGTGCAGCCCTCCGCGCCCGCAGGGGGAAACGCTACCTGTGAAAGTAATGTGCGCAGAAGAGGCCCAGAAGCAAAGTCCCAGGCGGTCCGAAAAGAGAGCGGGGCTGCCAGGCGAGGATCCCTGCGGACACCACAAAGGCGGGCAGCTCCTGCAGGAACCAGGCGGTGCGGGCGGGCAGGCAGGAGGTACCCCCGGGCGCCGGGATCTCCATGTGCTTCCCGTAGTTGAAGGGCTTGGTGAGGTATAGCATCAGTGCCCCCAGGGTGGCCATGGTGGCGCTACCTGCCAGCACCGGGCTCTGCTGGCACCGAACCGGCATTGCGCGTGTTCACTGCCTGTGACTGCCGCCCCTCGCAGAGAAGAGCGCGGCCCCCACGGCCCCTTTATGAAGCAGGAGAAGCCACCCGGTGTCCGCCCCTTTGTCCTGGGCTCCCGCCCCTCTGTCGTGCCTCCCACCTCGGCGCGGCCGGCCCTGCCTCGACTTAGCAGCGATGCCCCTTTCTCAGGACTGACTCTTTCGGCTGCAGACACCGCAGAGAGGACAACTAAGGCTTTCGTGGAGCCAGAAATTGTCCTGGGGTCCCTGCCCCGCCCACGCGCCTGCCCTCTCTACCGCTTGGCACTCGGCTCCCTTTAGGCTGCCCTTCGATGACTTGCTCCTCGCCCATCCACCTCTGTTGCCATAACTTCTGGATCTAAGCAACAAGGAAGAGAAAAACACTGAGACAATGTGGCCAGGTAGTTCTCGCGCCCCAGACACACTGTGCCCTCCTCGCCACGCAGCCCCTGCCCTCGAACCCCCAAGCCAGGATCTCTCACTCCCGCAGTTCCCACTCCACCCAGGATCCTTCCTTCACCCCTGGACTGGCATTCTGTCGTTGGGACCGTCCCCCATCCGCTCTGCTATTGGCTGGGTGCCCTGCTCCTTCGCCACTCTAACATCAATATCAGCTCAGTCCTCAGCAGAACTCCCAGGCGGGTCCCAGCCTCTCCCTGCCTCAAACTATCCCGTGGTTTTTCTTTGTATCTGCACGTGTGTCCGGAGCAGCCCACTTTAGTGAGAGCCGTGTTCTCTGAGCGCAGGTGTGGAGGCACGAATTTGGGCCAGCAGTGTCTTCCTGCCCTGAAGTTGGCACAGACTCGGGCTAAAGTCTAGGGCTTCTCCCGCGGGCTCCCACTCCCAGCTCTGGAGTGGGTGTGTCAGGTTTCCTGTGATGGTGAACTTGGAGATGCCACCGACCTCCGAACATCTGTCCAGCCTCCGTGCACTGGTCCTGTTCTTTCTCTCTTCCACTCCCCATCCTTCTCAATCTCCATGTCCTCATTTTACCTCTTGCCTTCCCTGATCCAGCRTCCAGCTTTTCCTGACTTCCTCCTCCTTTGCATAGTGCCCCAACTCCTTTTCTTCCCACCCTCTTCCTTCCTTCTTATTCTGACCTGGGTTTCTCCTTCTAGGTTGACCTGCTTTCTTTGCCTGCTGTTTGCTCCCCTTCCTTGATTACTTTATCCCTATTTTCCCCTCTTGGCCCTGCTTGTCGCTCAACCCCAGGATCTCCCCCTTTCTTTTTCTTCCTTTGCAGCTTTCTTCACCATTCCCCCTTAGCTCCAAATCAACACCCAGCAGAAGGTCCTCTCAATATTTCCCCATCCACTCCAGCCAGGCCAACCAGCTGGTGCAGGAAAAGGCACAGTCCCTCATCCTCTATGGTTTCGGATGTTTTCTGACTCTTGGGACACTGTCGCATATGGTGATGCTTTAGTGCCTCAGGACATCGTCGGCTGATGACCAAGAGGTATTTATCATCTCCCTGTTTGGTTAAAACCTAAACCAAACATGCACAGAAATTATTTTGGGGGAGGAAAAAGTTGACATTTACAAATCCCTGATAAGGAGAGACACAGTACACCATACAAGACTAGCAGGAAACACTAAGGTCAGTCAGGGTCAGCAGGACTGTGGGAGACATGGATGAGGCAGAATATGCAGGTTTAGAAATGGCTACTTTGATTGATTCCAGTGGCTCTGGGGCATAGGGGCTGCCTCTGGTTGTCGGTTATCTGACCCTGGGCTAATTGAGGCAAGGATATGTGGCTCAGAGTTTGAGAGCCTTAAAAAATATATTGTTTGGTCTACATATGAAAGATACACAGATAGTCATTTACATCTCTAGGAATTAGCTAGCCCTGTGAGGGGCAATCCCTCCAGTATCGGCAAGGCATGATTAATACTGTGGGTACAATACTGTGGGTGTGYATGTGTGTACATGCATGTGTGTGATCCATTCGTATAGTTGCATATAGTTGTAGTTTGTTCTCAATATTGTATAGCATTCCATATGTGAGTGTACTACAGTTTATTTACTTTTGATGTCTGTATTTGTGCACTCAGGCTGCAATAACAAAATACCATAGACTGGATAGTTTAAATAACAGAAATTTATTTTCTTACAGTTCTAGAGGCTAGAAGTCCAAGATTAAGGTTTGACCAATTCAGTTTCTGGGGAAAGCTCTCTTCCTGGCTTGCGTAGAGCTATTTTTTGCTATGTCTTCAAATGGTCTTTCCTCAGTGCATTCATGAAGCTTGAGAGAGAGAGAGAAAGAGA